CTTTCGACATCTGTCGCAGATTCTTCTTCAGAGACATCAACAAAAACAGTAGCAGAAACCGACAGAACTCTACCTAGTGAGCCGCCACCAGTGACATTTTTAGCGTGCTTATTCACTGAAGAGGCAAAATACACCAGATGTTGGATGCACAGATGGTCAAAGTTGAAAAAAACTCAAACTGCTGTCTTGCTGTCAAGCAAAATGGGTTTCTTAACAGTCATGCTGAGAAATAAGCCAGGCCTTTTTATGATCAACTTCATTTCCGGCGTGATGAAAAATATCATCAATGCTGTGTATGCCCGTCCGTAGTGTCGGGACACCATGACACAATGCGCGCGACAACCGCCGGTTAAGGTCACGGGTACGCGTTCACCCATTTCTTTATTCTGACTGGCCAGACTTTACCCCCTGGCCAGCGGATTTACAGCTCTCCTTGCACGGACTGGCTACCCTTCATTCAGTCTCTTACGTTTAAGCCACGCCATAAAGCCCTCTTTGTTAACATGACGCGTCGACTTGAACTGTTCCCCGTCCTGCCTACAAACTGCTTTCTGTTTTGAAAACATAACGATCAGCTTACGGAATGCGATAGTAGTCACCGGGCCACCTCTAATTAACAGCTTGAATCAAATGAAATGGGGTTATAGATTGTAGCATCAACAAGTTGTTAGGAAAAAAGAGGACGCGCAGTTGTCAGTATGGACAAATAAAAATTTATTTAAAATCATTTTGTTATTCAACAATCGCGAGTCGCGAGAACTGCAGTTAGATGTTCATTTAAAAGAACGTTTGAATAGTGTAGGAAAATCTGTAGATTAACCAAGAAGTGCACACATTTAAACGTGAGCATACCGAAATGTAAGTTATGTTATCTGAATTTATGGGGCATTTTGACGGGAGCATGAAGCAATCAAGAAATTCATTGTAGGCCTAGGGTACATCATTCAAGTAGTGCCAGTATGACTGAATTGTCCATATTCACATGTTCAATTTCGCATGTTGGCTAATTATGCCAAAAATTAAACGCCTGTCTGGTTTCGTTTAATTCCTCCTCAGTCAAGAATATAGGTCTCTTTTGAATCTCTTCGTAGAACCAATTTCACTTAACCAAGGTAGCCAAAACAACTGAGTAAATGAAAACGCAAACACACACCAGAATTTTTCAATGACAACCTTGTCCGTTCTTTGCAGGTGATGCATGCTCCGACCTGGTCTGCTGTCGTAATGGCTTTTGTTCAAAGTTCTTATTAAATACTTTGGACTGCAATTAGCGTTTGATTATATAAAAAGGATCTATACCTCAAAGAAAACTTTTTGCGGGGCCTATGGATTTGACCGAGTTAGTTATCAGTTTTACTGGCAGCTTGCTGCAATACCATCCTCCAATTACGGAAGGCAGCCTGTGCAGGGACAGCGTGGTAGGATGACGTTGCCCTCCGGTGAAATCACGTTCTCTCTGCTAAGCAAATTTTTAGTATCCTTTATCGCCTGTTTATTATTTCTCTAATCCCTACCGCTCCTTCGGTTACCTTATACAGACCTGCATACTAAAACGTATGCCGGGGTTGATGAGCAATCCAAATGGCAAATTAATATAATCAGAGGGCTTAAATATCTCAACCATCTGTCTTCAGTCGTTTCATTTTTTTAATAGCGTAATGACACAAAAGAAAGGCAAGAAGGATAAATCTTGCGCATATTGTCCAAATTAAGGAATTCTTGGAGACCTCAGTTCGCTAAGGTGCACGTAGAAACGGCAGTCAAACCCTGAGTTCAGAAAAAATGTTTCTGACTGACAAGGACATGGAATTAAGAGCCGTGCTGGTCTCGGTACGAAGCAGTTCCATCATTCGCAAGTCGCCCTCGTTTCAACTGCCCGCACTGTCGGTTCTAGTGGGGCATATGCGCAGGTAGTAAACCGCCATCGTTCAAGCCTGTTGACCACACCTCTCCTCACTAGCACATACACCACATAAAAAGCCCTACATCATCCTTTACAGTTACGAACTCGACAACTGAATATGCAAGTTCCAGGAAGCAGTTCAGAGGAAGAAGTTGCGATCACCAGAACAACTCCGACGACAGTGAGCATAATTATC